AAAGCGTTGGACATGTCTTTAAATGTAAACGCGAACGAACGTCCAGCGCGCCGCAGGCGCCAGCAGAGGAGCCGTGCGACTAAAATAGCTCCTTCACGACGTCTGCCTTTACAAAAGCCGTGCTCCGTGACCATGGGAGGAACCCGAAGAAGGCCCGAGTAGGAAGCTTTCCCACCAGTCGGCAATACATGGGCCGTCCTGCGGCCCACTGGTCCTGGCTTGGCTGTGTGTGTGTGTGTGTGTGTGTGTGTGTGTGTGTGTGTGTGTGTGTGTGTGTGTGTGTGTGTGTGTGTGTGTGTGTGTGTGTGTGTGTGTGTGTGTGTGTGTGTGTGTGTGTGTGTGTGTGTGTGTGTGTGTGTGTGTTTTTTTTTTTTTTTTTTTTTTTTTTTTTTTTTTTTTTTTTTTTTTTTTTTTTTTTTTTAAAAAAAAAAAAAAAAATATTTTTTTTTTTAATATATATATATATATTATTTATTTATTCTCGATTCGTGGCCCGAACGATCTGTAGGCCTCCCTCCAGAATCTTCCCAAACAGCTTCATCTCAGGGACTACCGGCTCGTAACCTACCCCGTGCCCCTTGGTGTCCATGTTAGCCTCTGGGTCCATACACATCAACCATATCTCAGCTGGCGGGGTCCCTGCACTCCTGAAGTACTTCTTGATTCTCCACTGGTCCTTCTGAGCAAGCTCGCAGTCCTCGGGCGTGATGTAGGGGGTGGGGCCAGGTGGGTATTCGTTCAGCCAGTCCTCAACGACGATCTTACGAGCCGACATGTCCCCGTCCCTGCCCTTCTTGCCCCAGTGGTCGAGCAGCTCCTGTTCTGCAAAGTAGTCCCCCCCCCGCAGGAGCCGTCCGCCCCTTCTCTTCGGTCCGAAGCGGCATCGCGCCGCCTGCCTCGAAAGCCTCATAGCCTCTGCAAGGCGACGGGCCTGCCACGCCTCGTCAATCTCATCCAATAGAACGGTGCGGCGTTGCTGATCGAATTGCTGCCGTTCTCGACGTAGGCGCTGACTGAGAATCTTCAGCTGTTCCTCGCACTCGTTCAGCTCCGTGGAATCCTCCTTCACGTCCTGTCTAGACCGTCGTAGTCGAGCCCGTTCTTTCAGAAGCTCGGTTCTTTCTGCCGCTGCTCGCCTGTATTCTGGGTCGTTAGATGCAACATGGCCAAACATATGTTACCCGATCGTTACCAGCACGTCCTCCAAGTGAAGAAAGATTTCATCTGGTCTCCCGTCGGTCAGCATGGCCCTCCACGCATCTTCCGTCTCATGCAGGCGTGCTTCCACCTTCTCAAGAAACTCGACTCGACGATGCCCTCGTCGTAGACACTGCATAAGGTCGTCCTGATTCCACTTCATGCGCTCTGGTGCTGGTGTCAGCGTCTCCGCCGTGGAAATTGCCTGCATGCCGTGTAGCTCCATGTAGACTGGGATGTGGTCCTTCGGCGGGCCCCCCTTTGAATGCCTGCAGCTCCGCTCCCAAACTGAATAATGGGGAGAACTTCTGTGCCATATCAATCATGCCATCTGGGTTAGAAAGGTAGTCGATGCAACTGCTGTGTCCAGACGCGTTGTAATACGCGTGCTCTAACGTCTGGCTACGAGAACTCATCGTGTACATGTGGTGGCGCTCGTTCACCATCCACATCATTTCGCCCGCGCCCCCGCGTCGTTGCTCTCGAGCTCGGCCTGGTCCCGTCGACTGCGACTCCACGTGCTGCCACTGGCCCGCGATCCTGCTGATGCCCATGCCGTCGTTCAGGTCTGCGTGCACCAACGGTGTACATCTGCATGGTAGTTGTTGTGAGACTCCCTCGTACCACTGCGTCAACATTCGGACCGTCTCTTTGTAGTGCGGGACCAAGCGAGCATCCCTGGGCTGCGGCGGGAAGTACAGCGCGATTGCTGCCGTATCCAAAGGGCCGCGGCGAACCCTCGCCGCCAGGGCGCGGCCCTCTGCACCTGAGGGGCTCGGCCATGTCCTGCACGCATGCTGCTCCTTGAATTTTTGGCCCAGGACTATAGCACAGCCTGTGCTCTTGTTCGTGAACTCGCCCGCGCCCGCCTCGGCCTCCAGCGCGATCCTCTTCCCAATCCTTCGAGTGAGAACTTCCTCATTCTTCCTATGCGTAGCCTGCGTGCCAGCTAACATCACCGCGTCCATATTGCTGCAAGACATGGCGACCTCTTGGAGTCGAACCCCCGTGCAGAACATCGGGTTGTACCCCAGCGCCCGCAGGATCCACTGGCCCACGGGCCGCGCCATCGCGATGCGCGTGGCGCCACGGCGGGCCATCCGCCCGCCTGCGCCGCGGCCGCCCCTCGCACGCTGTGCGCCAGAGCGGCGGCTGGAGGAGGAGGAGGAGGAGAAGGAGGAGGAGGGCCAGTGCGCTGCGGCGCGCCGGTTCGTCGACCACGACGGCTGGAGAACCTCGACAGCCAAACGCGGTCATAGAGACCGGCCTCCGGACATGGAGAGGGGACGGGCTGCGAGGGCAGCCGACCTCCAGATAATATGGAAAGTGCCGAGCGCTATCGAGGACCGGTGTCCTGCAAGAGCGGCTGGCGGACACGAACATAATAGTGACATGTTGTTTTGAGCGATGAATGTTCGGACATAGGGGCAGCACCCTGCCGGAACTTGTACCTACCCAGGAATGACAGCAATATGGAACAACATAATATTGACATGCAGTTGCTGCTGCTTGCGCCGAGGAAGAGGAGGAGAGGAGAGGGGAAGCGAACGGAGGAGGGGGCGAGGAGGGGCAAACATTGAGTGAGCAGGTTTGGCACTGACGTCTCACTCTTGGCACGCGAAGATCGCAGCCTGTAGCGCACGATCCACCGCGGCAGCGGACGGGCGCTCTTCGCCCTCCTTGACCTTGTGATAAAAGTTGAAAAGCCAACGCGACTCGTCGAATGGCGGAGCGACGAGCGAGCGGGCCAGACGGAGGGTAGAAGGTGCCAAGGGCCCACCGTTGGATCGGGTCGGCAGGGGTCGGGGTCGAGGGAGGAAAGAGGAGACCTGTGAGACAGGGGCACGTGAGGTAGTGGCGCATGTCGTCAACGGCGTGCGCGGCGGGGCATCCGAATCGACAGGGCCGACCACAAAGGACGTGCATGCGCCCCCGTGTCGTCCAGCCGCCGCGCGCCGTTTTGAGGAAAGCCCAGCGCCAGGACGGTCGCACTTGAATCAGTTCCCCCCGAAGCTCGCCCCAAACCTCCCTCGTCTCGGCCACCGTCCTGGGCGCCGCTCCGCCGTGCCATGCGCGGAGGCGGCGGTGGAGGAGGAGGTGGGGGCGGTCCGGGAAAGAAGCGGGGAGGAGGGTGCGCGCGATGGCACGCTGGATGTGGGGCTTCCTGCGAGCCACCGATGCCTGCTGGCGCTCATCCCGCGCTGCTTGCCGCGCAGCCTGAAGATCCTGCGCGCGAAATGGCGGCAAGTCCTCACTTCCTTCCGCCGCCGCAGCCAGGTGCTGGGCAAAGGCCGTCGGGTCCTCCCAAAAACGCGGCGACTACTCTCCCTTCCTGAAATCCATGTGGAACGCATGATCTTCCGCCGCGCCCCGCAGACGTTCCAGGGCCAGTCTCCAATCCGGGAGAGTATGCAGAGCCATGCGCATGCGCGCAGCGGTGGTCATGATCTCCAGGGAGGGAATGGCGCCTGCTGGGAACCACGCGGCCAAACTTGAAGGCTCAGAGCGTGAGAGCGAGCTAGGGGGGAGTTTGAGGAGCGAGTGAAAGGCTAAGAACTCCGAGCGAGCCATGCGCGGCAAAGGCACGAATTGGGCGACATATGATAGAGTCGACACCGCGTGGGACGCATACAAGCGGACCGCGCTGTCGGGCGGAACGTTGGTCGTTGGTATCTGATGGGTGCGGCTCCATCACTTCTGCCGTGGGCCGTGCCACTGCCGCGCTCGATCGGCGCCCGGCCCCACGAACAGACCTAAGTAACGAGCGTACGAGGCAATCTTGAACCGCCCCCATTCCTCACCTAGCAGACGCAGCTTCTCCGAGAGCCGACCAAGGACTGAAGGCGTCGGCAGTGCAAACAACGGCACAACTACACACTTGGCGGCCTGGAGTGCCAAGCTGGCGAGGCGTCGCGCGGCGCGGAAAGGTGCAGACAGGGGGCTCAGAGCACTGATGTCGTAGCTGACGATACCCACGTCGTCTGCGCAGCCGCCGACGGAACCGACGTCCTTCGACGGGACAGCCGCACAGAGCGATCGCAGGATGGGGTCCATGGCCACCGCCCACGCCACTCCAGAAGCCGGGCATCCCTGGGCAACGCCAGCCAGGACAGGGAGAAATCGAAGTCGGCGCCCCGCCAAGCGGATCCATGTCATCGTTTGGAAGTACAAGGCGCTGAACATCCAAACGTACCCAATCGGGAGACCAAACCGCCGTAGTGCACACGTGATCCAAGTCCGGGACAAGCTCGGGAAGGCGGCGGCGAAGTCGTAGCTCGTGAAGGTCGGCATCCGCTCCTCCGCCCGCGGCAGGATGCCCGCGCGCCGTGCTTCCGCGTCCAAGGCCACCACGTGGCTGCAAAAGTTCCTCCCGTGGACGAGCCCTTTTTGCGACTCGTGCACCCGCTCCTGCACCGGGCCGCGGAGCTTGAAGGCCATCGCGCTGGCGAGAGCCTTAATGCCAGTGTTCTTGAGCAGGAGGGTACGCAGGGCGTCAGGTGTGCGGTGCACTGCGATGGCGTCTTCCGCGAGCTCTCCCTTGGGGATGCAGGCCATGTCCGCGTCGTTGAGGTGATAGGGGACGTCGCCGCCCGAATACAAGTGCGCTTGAAGGTCCATCAGGACGAGGAGGAGGAGGAGGAGGAGGAGGAGGAGGAGGAGGAGGAGGAGGAGGAAAGAGGAGGATGATGAGGATGAGTATGGAGAGGCGGAAGAGGATGAGGAGGAGGAAGAGGAGGAGGAGGTGGACAGGGACGTGGAAGGGAAGAGGCTGTGGGCCAGGGCGCTGTGCACGTGGGCAGCGCGGGTCCCGTGGCAGCGCGGAACAAAGAAGTCGCTGAACGCCCTGACGTTCTCGACCTCGAGGAGTGGGGCGAGCAGCGGCCTCGACCCTCCGCGCGGTTCCTTTTTTCAAGGCGGGGGGCGCTGGTGCCCTCGACCCCGTCCCACAGGGCTGGCTTTCGGCCCGCGGGTTGTTTTCTGCCGTCTTCGGAGGGGGGGATTCAGGAACACCTTCTTTGTAATCTCTATATATATATATATATACATATATTTTTTATGCCACTAAGCATACATCTCTATATGCCAATGTATATGTGCATGTGCATGTGCATGTACATGTATGTTTGTAGTATGTACGCGTCCACGTGGACATAGTAGGCACACTGTGTGTATATATATATATATATACACATACGGTGTACACACGTGTATGTATAAAGCATCGAGAGACTGGGCTTCTGCACATCCAGGGCGACACAGCAATGCTCCAAGACACCCTCCCGTCCTGAGCCCCGTCCTCGCAAGCCCCTGCACGCATCCACGCGCAACGCGGGAAACGCCTCCTGGAGCGGCGACCGTCCGGTGGGCCTGCCGCGCAGGCGAGCCGTCGTTCTGGAACGGCTCCCCCTCCATCCATCCCTCCTCCTCCTCCTCGTCCTGCTCGTCCTGCTGCTCCTCCTCCTCCTCCTCCTCCTCCTCCTCCTCCTACTTCTCGTCCTCCTCCTCCTCCTCCTCCTCCTCCTCCTCCTCTCTTCTGCGCCTTCGAGCGGGGGGCGGCCGCCCTCCTCGTCGCGGCGGGCCCGCCTCGAGATGTGTTGGCCCCCAGCAGCGAGAAGGCAGCGCAAAGAGGCACGACCAAGGACAGGCAGTCGGGCATGGCCACAGCACTCAATGGCATGTCGAGCGATGGCTCCGTTTGGAAACGGGTCAGCCCTCCATCAGTGTAGGGGCTGCAGGATGTCAAACATCCTGGCTTTGACACGTGCGGGGATCTCGAGCGAAGGCCACCTTGGGACACCCCTGTAGTCGTGTAGCAGCTGCACAAGTTGGAACGCGGGGGCGTCGAATTTGAGGACGTCTGTCTCAAGCAACTGCATTCTAACAACGATCCAACCTCCATCTCAATAGCTCTTTAAAAAAATGCGCCCGGCGGTGAGGCGGCATTCACAGTCTGACCACCTTCCATCCCTGCATTGTTTGTTGTGAGTGTGCGCGGCGCGGAAGCGACGGTCGCACGTTTAAAACGCGACATATTCCATCATTGTAACTGTCACAAACTTGCATGCGAGTGCGCGCGGTGATGGTGCCACGACCGCATTTTGTAAACCACTGGCCCTCCATTCTTGTAACTTCTGGAGTTTAAGCTTCACTCTGATCTCAAACGCCTTCTGGGCTCAAGTGGTTTAGCGCGTTCCCTCATCCATCCTCCCCCTTCTTCCCTTTCGGGTAGGGGTTGATTCCCCCCTCCCCACGGGCAGCCAGAATGTCCAAGATGGTCTCATCGACAAAAACACAATCGTTTAGGTTCCCTTGGTCTGGGATAGCTGTTGGCCTTCTGGGGGGGGGGGGCGGCGGCGAGGCTAATCCCACGACGCACCCTTATGTGATCGATCTCCTCAACGGTGGCCCGAAACGCCCCCCCCCAAGATGGCCCCAAGAAACCTCCGAAGGGCACCTATGACGCTCCAACAACCCCCCAAGAACAGAAGGGGCCTCTGGCCCACTGAGGCTCCCCGAGGTATCCCGATGGTGCCACGCTCCCCGTATAAGGGCAGATCTCCTGAACATCGGTCCTGGATGGGCTGGTGGGCATACGTGAAGCGCTAAGCATACACGCGGTAAGCACAAGTCAATCGAAGCAGCTGGCTAGGCCTACGGGCACGCCTGGGTGGCGCGACAAGGCGAGTTATCTACAATGAAGAAAGCTGGATGCAGACCGAGGGATGAGAGGGAACATATCCTGGGAGGAGGAGAGCGAGGGGAGGAGGAGGAGGAGGAGGAGGAGGAGGAGGAGGAGGAGGAGGAGGAGGAGGAGGAGGAGGAGGAGGAGGAGGGGAGAGGAGGAGGGAGGAGGAGGAGGAGGGGGAGGAGGAGGAGGAGACGGAGGAGGAGGAGAAGGAGGAAGATGAGGAGGAGGAAGACGAGGATGAGGGGGGAGCAGGAGGAGGAGGAGGGAGAGGCGGAGGAGGAGGAGGAGGAGGAGGAGGAGAAGGAGGAGGAGGAGGATGGGGATGGGGAGGTGGTGGCGGAGACGGAGGAGGACAAGGACTAGTAGGAGGCCGAGGAGGAGGAGGAGGAGGAGGAGGAGGAGCAGGAGCAGGAGCAGGAGAGAGGAGAAGGAGCAGGGCAGGAGGAGGAGGAGGGGAGGGGGGAGGAGGAGAAGGAGAAGCAATAGAAACATGAGATGAATAGGATTTGGTGGAATAGGAGGAGGGGGAGGACGAGGGGAGGAGGAGGAGGAGGGGGAGGAGGAACAGGAGGAGGAGGAGGAAGAGGAGGAGGAGGAGGAGAGGAGGAGGAGGAGGATGAGGAGGAGGAGGAGGAGGAGGATGGAGAGAGAGAGGGAGAGTGGGAGGGAGGAGGAGGAGGAGGAGGGAAGGAGGAGGAGGAGGAGGAGGAGGAGGAGGAGGATCGGCTGCGCGCAAGCTTGACTCCAGGTATCAATGACATTTGGTGCGTGGCTTTCCGATCGATGCATGCGATGCGGCAGTAGAGGCGTGTGTACCTGGGTTTGGTCCCCTTGTGCCCCTCGCAAGCCGCGCACCAAAGGTCACTCTGGCGAAGAATCACACTTCCGTGTATCCGACGGTGTGCGAGGATGAACTCACTGGGACCCGTCCCCCGAGGGCTGCCACGACGCGATACATGAATCTCTGCATCTGCTCCACGCGGCGGTCGGTCGCCACCAGGGCAAACCCGTCCTGCGCCGGCGCTGCCTCCTGCTCCTCCTCCTGCTCCTGCCTCTCCTCCTCCTCCTCCTCCTCCTCCTCCTCCTTCTCCTTCCCACCTCTGAGCTACAAACGATGCCATGACCTTTAACTCTAAATTCCTGTCGAGGCTTTTAGCAGTCGAAACTCGTCTGTAGGCTTGCATGCCCATTTTGCGCACTCTTGAACGTCAGGGTCGTCCCCACCTCCCCCTCCTCCTCCCCCCCTCCTCCTCCTCATCCTTCACTCCTCCTTCTCCCCTCTGTGCTCCCCCTCCGGCCTCGGGCTCCTGCTGATGCTGCTCCTCCTCCTCCTCCTCCTCCTCCTCCTCCTCCTCCTCCTCCTCTTCCTCCCTTTTCCTCCTCCTCCGCATCCTTCTCCTCCTCCTCTCTTCCTCCTGCGGGTACTGTGGGCGCTACAAAGGGCAGCCACAAAGAGCACAGCTGGCCCATGGGCACTAGCACAGCACTAGTGCCGAGAAACCTCCTCCAACAGCGAGCCGCTGAGTGGCTCGGATAGAATTTATGTGACACGACGTGCTGGGAAGACTGCCCGCAAGGAGGACTCGCTTCTCTTTGCGAGTGTTGAGCTTGCACATATACCTCGGCGCGATGGCTTTCTGAACCCGACAGCCCCACAATGGGAGCAGAAGCCCACATGGAACCCAGACTCCACCACAGACGCAAAGTGGAGGGCATGCCCAAAATGGCCTGGTTCCCTCAGAGCCTCCCGACTCCAGGGATGCAAGAGATCTTGGTGAGCGGTGACCCAATACTGGGACAACAGCTAAATCTCCATGGGTCAATCTGCCAGTACGGGATCTGTGGGGCAGTCGCAGGTCTACCAACACAGGGTCTCACAAATCCCTCGTTTCACACACCAAACAATTCTTCAGGGATGGCCATCGGGCAAAATTCTCTCACCACCCCCAGCAACTCCTTAAATTACTTGCGCGTGTATTCTACAGTCTCCGAGAACATAGGCTTGACACCGTGAGTCCTAGCTCCATAGCGCGTGTTTTTCCCGCGAGCCAGTCAGCTGCTGCATCACCACGGATATCATTTTGGTCGGCGAACTGTCAATCTTCAACTCTTTGGGCCTTCACCCCATGGACGGACACCCAAGTACCTAGACCGAGAGTCGCGGCTACTTCGCGCCATACAGCCACGAACGCGGTGACGATTTAGACTAGCGCGGCGAGACCCGGTCCGGCCGGCCAACGTTCTTGCTTCCTCCTCCTCCTCCCTCCCTCCGTCTCCTCCTGCCCCTCTTCTCCTCCCGCATGGTTGTAACATTCTTGGCTTTTCGGTCTTACGGGAGTCTTGCCACGGCCCAAAAGGACCCCCAGGCTCGCCACCAGACCGCCGGTCCTGCGTCAGCGGCGCCGTTCTCCCAGCGCTCCACAGCTTCACTCTGACTTCCTGTAGGCAGAGTTGGGGGGCAATCGTCGTCGTCGTCGTGGTCGTCGACGTCGTCGTGGTAGTGGCGGTGGTGGTGGTCGTCGTCGTCCGTCGTGGTCGCAATCGTGGCGAAGGAGTGGGCGGGCTCATCAGGTCCGTCGCGCATCTCACGAACAGCCAAGGGAGGGCGCCGAAGCACAATTGCTTCGACCCGTCACCTTCTTAAGCCTCACCGAGAATAGCAAGGACAAATCCAGAAACACCTCCGCGGAGGACGCTTCCGTCAAGACTGAGGGGGCAAGGGCGACACAAACGACACGCAACATGCGGGAAACGCTGCGGAGTGTGGAGTATGCAGCAAGCGTCGCAAGTTGAACGCTCAATATAGCAGGCAACAAACACGATCAAACTATGGTGACCACGCGCGCGCGTCCGCTCGAAGAGGTTTTTTGTTGCAAGGCTGCCGCTACAAACTGGCCCACTCATTTCCTCCATCTGCGCAATCTCCGTCACGTGCCGCGACGCTCGAAAGCATAGCTGATCACGCCGCGCCTTCCTGACGCAGATCACTCTCCACTGCTTGGCGAAGAGGCGTTTTGGGAGACGTGCCCCATCGCCGATGACATCCTGGCGCTGCCTTGGCGAGAGAGACCTTGCGCGGCCCTTGGCATTGGGTGAGCTGCGGCTGCGGGGGATGGGTCCGCGAATGTGCGCGATGTCGTGGTGCGTCCTAACAGGTTGGTCGGCGAAGTAATGAGCCTCGGCTGGCCCACAATTGGCATCTCCAACATGTCCTTCCGCCGCCGCCGGGCTGGACTTCCTCCGTCGTGCCAGTGCTCCAGCGCAGGGGCACGCGCCTGAGAAGGCCTGCGTTGTGGGGGACCCGCGGCGCGAGCCGCTCGAATATGACCTCCATCTCGCATTGGCCGCTTTTCCTTAGGCGGCAGCGAGCAGGGTAACCTTGGCGACTGCACCCTGTGGTGCTCCAGCGTGGGTACCGCGGAGTCCTTCCCAGCGCACTTTCCGTTTGCACCCGCCGCTGGGGCCGTCCATCTACTATGCTATGCTATGCGTGGGGTGAAGTGCAGGCTTGACGCTTCATGGAGAGGGGGTTGGGCTCACTACCGTCGCTCCTGGTGGCTGTCAGCGCGTGAATCGCTCGAGCATTGTCGGGTTCAGAGAGGATCATGGCGGCAGGGCAACTCAGCGGAAACGCCTGTTCGTCTTTGTTGGGTCTGGCCGCACTTGCTGCAGGACGAACGCAGCCCAAGCTGCCGAGCTTCGAGTGACGTCCGGACGTCGATACCGATTCATGGGTAGCCCGCATGCCGCCAGGTAGCGTCAGCAATCTCCATGCCTAAGTCGCCAACGATAGCGGTCGCACTGGTCGCTGCCGCCGCCAGGGCAACCGCGGCCGTGATGGCCAGGGCCACTCCTGCCTGATCTCGCGCGGCTCCTTGCGTGGGTACGTCCTCGGGAAGCCTGCCTTCTTGCTGCGCGAAGCGCGCTGAACCATGGCCTGTCTGAGGCGTAGCTGGCACGGCAAATTTTCAGCCAACTTCGCCATCATCACCTGGGACAGGACAGGAACCTCCGTCACAGCGGTCGTGCCGCCCTGGTCGCCCATGTCAGCGGTCAGGTCCACTTCACCTTGGTCAGGAACCGCCAACGGCACCTCTGCTACGCCTGCTGCAACCAAGCGCGGCTGCACTGGCTCCGCCACGACCTGCTGACCGCTTGCGTTGTCGTCGGAATCATCCGGCTCGACCATGCACTCCATGAAGAATGTGTGCTCTTCGCAAGAGTCGCGAATGGCTGAGACCGCTGGGACCGCGTAGGTGCCTGCAACCGCGGGAATGGCACCCTGCTAGTCCACCTCGTCTCGAAGGCTGAGCTGCCCAGGAGGCCGCCGTGCCAGGTTCCCGCATGACCTGAGCCACCTGCAGCTTGACATCGTCTCTACCATGATCTGGCCGTGGCGCAGCGTCCAGGCTGCGCGATCTTCGCGGTGCAGACGCTGCAGCTTTCGCACCAGGGCTTCCCTCGCGCTGCCGCCTCGTCGCCTCCTGCGCCGAGTTCGCCGACTTCTTTCCATGCGTAATCCTCTGCCGTTAACATCACGGCCGTGACCGTGCATGGCTGCCCGAGGTCGCTGCTTTCCTTGACGCTTTTGCTGTCCGTGGCGTCGCAGCCTGTTGTCCTTGCCGGGGGGATCAACATTGTTGGCGAGTCCAGGGCGCTCGCGAGGCGAAGTAGCTCGGGGTGCAAGTCTTCTGTGCTTAGGTGCCCAATGGCTTTCACTGGCAGGGGGGGGACATCCCGCGGCACAGGGGCCTGAGAGGTATTCCTTCAGACGGCCCCTGGCCCTGAAACTCCCTTTTCTCGTTAGCCTTTTCAGCCCCCTGGTAGGGCCGCGCCGCGTGGTGGTGGTACCTCCCTCACGTCAAGGCTGACAACATCTGCGTGCAGGCCGATCTGGTGGAAACCGCCACCGCCGTGCACAACTCCGCACATGCCAGGGGCCGCCCACGTAACGTGGCCGCAAGAGTCTGCCATAAATCTCGCCTCGAGGCCGTCCTGGAAGGCGTGCGCTGTCGTCGAGCCCCCCATGCATTGTTTGATATCTTATGTATATATACATATATACATATATGTGTATGTTTATGTATTTTTGTGTACCCATGTGCAGATGTATCGGAGTGAGGGGGGCAAACGATCATTCACTGTCGCTGGGCGCGTGGCTGGAGTGGGATCCGCGGTGCGGATCGTTGTTGCGTTGTTGCTGAAGTCCCATTCTTGAACAATTATTGTTGACCCCCCCCCACTGGTGCACATTGTGTCTTTCATTGAACGCCACCCTCGGGGCTCGCACCCTCGTGCTCAAACTAGGCCTCTGGTCCCCCGGCGACAACAACAAGGGCTCCCGCCTGACACTTCCTCACAAATAATTCCAAGATCGCGCTCTCGCGCAAGAAATCTTCACAACTTATGCAGGAAACGCGCTCTCGCGTGGGACTTCCTCGCAGTGGATTAAAACTCCACTCCGTGCCCTCGACGCTGAGGAATCACGCTTCTCGCTTTGGCAATTCCCACGACTTCCTTGGGAATCGCGCAATCGCTCGAGACTTTCTCGCGATTCATGCGGGACCCACGCTTCAGCAACCCGCCTGCTCGACCTGGCCGCCTGGGCCCGCCCGCCCGATCTGCCCGTCAGGATATACCACGTGTTTTCTGCTCCTGGCCGCCCTCCTGCTACTCTCTCTCTCGTGCTCGATCCTTTTTCCTCCCCCTTCCATCCGGACCTCTCTTCCCTTGTTGTAAGGGGCTGCGCAACATGCGCGTGGCATGTAAGGAAGATATATCCCAAAGGGGTACGATCGAAGACGAAGAGGGCGGGTTACCGAGGGATTGTGATATACGCGTTGAGTGGCACGAGGGCAAATACGAGCGACCAGTCGTAAATTGGTTGTTGTTGTCGTTGTCGTTGTCGTTGTCGTTGTCGTCGTTGTCGTTGTCGTTGTCGTTGTCGTTGTCGTTGAACATTATTAATTCTAAAGAATAATTATTGTTGGGCCCCCTGGTGCGCGCCCCCCCCGCCGCGCCTAGGCCGCAGCCACGTTTTCATCATTTTCGTGAGGAAGCCTCAGGTAATTCGAGTTGATCAAGATCCGGTTGTTTTGTTGTAATCCGTTTTCCCTTGCAAAAAACACTATAAAATGACATTTCTTGTTCTAATATAATCAAATTTCAAGAATCCCTTGCAAAAAATAAGGTAAAGTGGACATTCGCGCGCGCAAGACGAAATCCTTCCAAAAGCTTAGTGTTCGGAGCGATTTTAACATAAAAACATCAAAAAACCAATGGTTTTTCAACAAAAAAATGTCAAAATCTCATCCCGCGCGCTCTTGCGGATTCGTAGGAAACCCAACACTTTTTAAACATTTCTGTCAAACGGGCTTTTGCGAGCAACTTTTTCGAACTTCTGCGACAACGGTTGCGCACCTGCCAGGGCCATCATCCCTGTCAAATAATACCATGCGGGACACATTCGTTTTTTCTTCGCGCGCGCACGCCGAAATCTCCAAAAACCATTGGGTTCTGTGGGTGTGTACCCCACGCCAGTGTAGTAGCCACGGTCGTCCGCACGCCACGAAGTGAAGTGTCCCAACGTCATAGGGCGGGAAGCTGGGTTTGGGTGGTCGCGAAGAGTCGTTTGGATATTTGGTAGAGCTTGTAATGCCCCCCCACGAAGTGGGGGTATTGCCTGGTGTCGTATGAAAACCCTGGCACTGGGGAGAACACCACGCGTTCGGGTAAAATGATTGTTGTTGTTGTTGTTGTTGTTGTTGTTGTTGTTGTTGTTGTTGTTGTTGTGTGACTGCTGTTGCTGTTGCTGCTGTCGTTGTTGTTGGTGTCGTTGGTGTCGTTGTCGTTGTTGTTGCTGTTGCTGTTGTCGTCGTTGTTTGTGGTGGTGGTGTTGTCCTTGCTCTTCTCGCGGTTGTTGTAGCTGTTCAACTCGCACTGTTGAAAAATAGCGATTGTTGATCCCCCCAACGAATTTGGTACTGTGCCACTTGAGGTGCCCCTCCCGGGGATCGCACCCTCTTCTTCAGCAAGGGAAGTATTGAGGCTCAAACTGGCCACCTGGCCCCCGAACTACAACAACAACAACATCGGCTCCCGCCAGATACTTCCGCACAGTGTATTGAAACATCCGCCGACCCTGTCGGCGTGTGCGAGGGGCTTGTCTGTTCGAGTCGTCGCCTCCGTCAGCCCTCGTCTGCGTCGTCCCCTTTCCCTGCACCCTCCTCAACCCTTTCGGCGAGAGAAAACCTCGCAACGTCGTAATCGACTCGGAGGGAAAAAAACCCTTCTCTTTGATCCCTCCCCCGTCGGGGGGGTGGTCTCGGGGGGGGGTCAGACACGTATCCCTCCCTGGGGGTCCCAGGGCTGCAAAAAATACCAAAACAAGCAAATAATGCCCCAAGAGGCCCCCCAGACGGTCTACAAGGGCCCCCTGC